CGTACCTTAGTCGGAAGTGGAGGCTTAGTGGGGACCAGGCCTTAGTATTGTGGGATGAGCGTACAGAACACGTTTATGCTCCCTTCCCAAGCAAACATAACTAATTCTTGTCCGCTGTGACTACACTGCTGTGTGACTACACTGCTAGCTTGTGGGTTCTGGAAAGGGATACTTTAGGTTGCTCCATAATAAAAAGAGGAGGAATTTAGCATCACTTCCAGCTGCAGGAGACGTAGAGGTCGGCTGCCTGTGCTGAGACCCATGCTCTTCCTGACTCTTAAAAATTATTTCAAGTGATAGTTCTCCCCCCACCCTCCCAAATAGCTGTCTGTATTTTCTGGTGAATCTTTCCACTCATATAGCGTTCTACTAATGTATCAAAAACCCCTATGACAGGCAGTTAAGGATTCTTTGGCATTTCCATTTTACAAATGGGGAAAGAGTAGCAGGAGCATTGTATGATTCCCACAGTAACCTTAATTATGCCAGTGTTGGAGTTGGGGTTAGAACCTATATTACGCTGCATCAGATACCCTATCACACTACTGAGATATCCCATCTCTTTTAGGCCAATGTGGCATTGTCCAACCTCAGAGGAACCTGCTGGGCTGGAACTTTTGGCACTCTTGATGCCTTTAGTGGCAACTCAGATGGCACAACCCCTCACAGCGAAGAATTGGTGTCAGGTCTGCCCCTGTGAACCGAAGAGCCTGTGGCCATGCCATAGGCCATATCGATAACAATGTTCTTTGGGGAAAATATGTGACAAGCAGCTGTTTATATTTTCAAGGCAACCTTTCAACAAAAAGACTTAACTTTTTTTATTGCAGAGATTAGCCTTAGCATTTATAGGTTCCTGAAATTGGGGGTTGGGAAAGGCGCTATAATGGTATATGATGAGGGGATTTGTGAGGCAGTGTTCAGTCAACTGGTACAATGTGTAGTGGCTTATACTACTCTCCTGATCGCTCCTTACATGCAAATGTAGCAGAATAATTCACACTGTTTGACAGTGTTATGAGTGTCTGCAAAGTAAGATTCTGCATGTTTCTATATTTAGAAATGTTACTTACAGCTAAGAAAATCAGAGTACTGTATTTTGAAAGATTTTCGGGGCTGTAGGTTAAAATAACGATGCACAGTTGTTTCATCTCTAGATCTCAAAGTACTCAACAAAGGAGTTAAGCATCATTATCCCCATTTTACAGATGGGGAAACCAAGGCAAAAGGAGTTGCCAAGTGTCAACCAGCAATCTAGTGACTGAGCTGGGACAAGAACGCAGGTCTCCTGAGTTCTAGTCTGGTGCTCTATCCATTAGGCTATACATGTAGCTAGTTACAGTATGCTGTTAGACCAGGGGAAGTTGTATCACATGAAGTTTCACAGCAGAAGGTAGTGAAAAGTGTATTTGGTAGTCCTTTGATAAGTAACCACAGTCTTGAAAATTCCACTGCTCCATAGCTTGGGGAAAACAGTAAATATGGTGTTTATTTGTCTGTTACAGTTTCAGCTTTTATACTGACCATTGTAATGGGAATGAGGTTCAAGAGGTCCAAGAAACTAATTCCAGGTGGACTAATAGCTGGTTTAAGGTAGGTGTGTATATCTATGTTCAGTTCCTGCTGCAATGATTTCAGCCTGTTTCAAATGGTAGCCAGTTGACATCCAATCCAAGAACATGGTGATTGAAGTTGTTACCATCCAGTGATTGTTAGATGGGCTAAATGAAATGAGCATGAAGTCCAGTTTCCAGTAGACAGCTATCCACAAAAAATGCACATCTGATAGTATCCTCTTTTCTGAGGCTCCCAATTACTAACAGTATGTATTGATGAAGGCCTTAAAAAGTACCTGAGGTAATTATGTGCCAAACTTTTTGAACACGAATACTTAAATTTGGGCTCTTAAATTCATACTCCGTGACCTAAATAAAAATGGCCTGGCTTTTCAGTAGTTCTGAGCAAATTTCACTGTAGTCCATGGAAGATGTAGGTGCTTTGAAAATAAGGCTACCTTTATTTAGTTGTCTTGATTTAGGTAGCCAGGTTTGAAAATTTTGGCCAATATTACTGCATATGATGAGTCAACTATTTCATTACTCTGCTGCTGTTCTTTATTTTTACATATAAAGAACATTTTCCATATTTATTCCATAATTTGGTTCCATAGTAATTCAAACTTATTTTCTGTGACTCCATCTCTCAAAACATTTTTCACTTTGCAAGTACATTTTTTCTAATTGTTCACACTTCAAGATGAACGTGCAAATCAATTTTTTCCTACATTTTACATCATCATTATTGAAAGATTTAGGTGTGAGAACTTTCATTGATGGTACATGCGTTGGAATAAAAATTATCCTCCTTTTTCAGAACTATAATGTCTGTGCATGGCTAAAAAAGATACACATCAACCAAACTGTCAGCTCGGTTCCCATGGTAGAATCTTCAGTAGTGATTCATAAATTTTAAGGCCCCAAGTAAACATTATGATCATAATGAGTCTGACCTCCTGCATAACACAAACCACAGAATTTCACCCAGTAATTCCTGCCACAAACCCTTAACTTCTGATGGAGCTGAAGTATTGTCAAGTGATGTAAGAGGCAGAAAGTATTCAGGTCGATATTCAGGTCCTAGGTTGAATTTGCAGGACAGATACTTAGAATACTTATCTTTTTGACTTGTAAAAAGAAATTTTATAAGGTGTCACTGAGAGAATAAGTATGGAACTCTGGTGTCACTTTTCTGACAATAACTGCATTTCATGCATGCAGCCATGAATAAAACAATCCCCTTAGATTAATATTTGTGCAATGTCTTTATTAACACCTAGTATAGAACTCTTTGTATGGCTAAACCAGCTCACCACTAAAACTAAACATACCAAATTCTGCTCTGAATTCACTGGGGCTACCCAGAGTGCAAGTCAAGACTGACTGTGTTTCAAAATGGAACCATTGCTGGCAACCGTTATCAGCAAACTTTGCAAGTGAACTAGTGAAGCTGCAAGTGTAGATAAGGCAAAACCACGTTCAGCATCATTTCAACTAACTGTTGTAAACAACAGCTCAATTTCCAAGTGCAGACACAGCCAAATATTCTGTTTTAACCCATATAGGGTTAAATGGTACTTAAGCGTTTCACACCACTCTTAATTAAATCTTCCTTGTAGCAACTCTGTGTTGGACCATGCCTTTTACTGTATTTATTGAAACAGTGTGAAGACTATTTCAGTTAGAACATGAACTTTATGCCTGGCATGAGCACTTTGTCTGGAAATCATTAATATATGCAAAAGAATTTTGGTAACTTTGAAACCTAGAACACACTGGAAAAGCAATTCGGTATTTTTGTTTTCAAAAATCTCTCCCTCAAATGGATCAAAACTTAGAGGAGTGGTGTCTCCACTCATGTATACCTAACTTATATTCATATAACTCCATTCACACAAATATAGGTGACGGGAGAATCAGGCCCAAAAGCCCTAGAAGATTGTGCTTTCTCGAACCTGTAAGTCCCGATTCTCACTAGTGTTACATTCGTGTAATTTCATTGACATCTTCCAAAGTATGTTGGCATACAACTGGTAAATGCAATGGAGAACCAGACTTTAGAAGTGTTTTTAAAGATTTTAAGTTATAGGCTACAGATTCTCTCATCTGTACCCAGTAGCAAATTCATGAATGGGCTTTATGCTATTTGATTGTTCATACCCAAACTTTACTGTTTCTTTTACTTTTGTTCTGTGTTTTGATGCAGCCTTTTGATGATTTTGAGATTGGTTTTTCTGCTGCTGTAAGAGACAACAGCAACTAAGGACTGAAGTACGAATATCATTTCCCTTCAACAAGCAGACAAGCTCTTTGTACTTGAAGTATGTCTGTCTTTTTTTGTTGTTTTTGTATTTTTTCACTGTAAAAGTTAATACATCTGAAATTTAATTCCTCAAATTTCTTTGATATGTTGAAAGCTTTTTTAATTAAACAAGAAGGTTTTTGATAGTTTCTTTCTTGAATCGTTTTCATTTAAGCAATTTATTGGCTGGATTTTTTTTTTTCCAGAGGTGCTAAGAGGGCATAGCACCACTAAGAAATCAGTGGATGTTAGAAATGTTCTGCACCTTTGAAACCCGAGCTATGTATGGATGTGTCACTAAACTAAAAAGGGGATAGTATTAAACCATAATCTTGTAAGCATCTAATATCAGGTAATCAATAGAAGCTCAATGTAACATGCAAACTAACATCTTGTCAGTACTAATCATGTAATGCACTGTGTTTTATCAAAATCACTAACAGATGAGGGTATATGCTTGTGCTCCATATTGCACTAGAATATATTTTGTTTCTAAACATGTAAATATCTCCTTCCAGGGGCTAGAAAATGTATAAATTGTTACCAGTAATCAAATAAAAGATGGAACATATTAAGCAGTTTCTCTTTTAATCTTTCATGTTGACCGACCAACTCCAGAGACACTACATTATTTATAGTGTCAAGTGAATGGAAGAGTTTTGATTGGTAGCTGTGTACGCCTTTCCTCCTGAGTCCAATTCTGTAAGGTGTCCTCAACTTCTGTTGAAATTAATAGAAGTTGAAGAATACTGAACATTTTGCAAGATTGGGTCTTAAAATCTCACTTCCAAACAAAACGTGCTCAGTTTGCAGTTGTGATATGAAACTGACTCTTAGGATTGAGTGGAGCTGCACAGGGATTCACTTCACCTCTTTACAATAATACTCCCCCATCAGCAACTGGATATTTCCAGCAACAAATTGTAGTTGGCTTCTGGCTGATCGGAGAGGGCTGCAGCTCTCCCTGTAGCTTCAAGGGATGGCTGACTGGCCTTGTCCTAGCTCTTCATAGGGCAACTTTGCTACTTGCTTCTTGAACATTTTGAGGAGGTGCCAGTAAGCCTGTGTCTCCCTCTTCCCCACACACAGGGGTTCCTGGGAAGAGGAAGGAAGGCAGAACTCCTGTTCCTCAGAAAGATTGGCTGAGAAGACTTTTTAAACGAAAAACACAGTGGTTCTAATTGTAATGTGGTTAGAACAGCAGTTCTCAAACTGTGGGTCACAACCCCATTTCAATGGGTTCACCAGGGCTGGCTTAGACTTGCTGGGGCCAAGGGCTGAAGCCAAAGTCTGAGGGCGTCAGCCCTGAGCGGTGGGGCTCAATGTTAGCATATAGGCTGATGTGTTAGCCTGAAATAGAATTTGGGATGTGACTTTTTGATACTCTTAACCTTATACTAATATTTGTGAACACAGACACTGTGTGTGTTGCTTCTGCCTAGCTGGATGGGTTTGTTAGTATAATGGGAACAGATAAGAACAGTTAAAGTGTTACTGGGCACGGTGGGAGTATAATATACGAGTGCACACTTTGAGACTGCCTCAACTCCTATCTCAAGGTCAAGCAACCAGTTGGGAAGGGCAAGGGATGATTGGGGGGGCGAGGGGGAAGACATAAGAAACACTAAAAACCAAAGAAAAGCCTGGCCTTGGCCAGTACACAACCTCACTCCTTACCCCTACCATGGGATACAAAAGAGGTGGGAGGAAGACCTCCCCCCGCAGACTCATGCACTTTCAAAATGGAACATGACCGTAAGTTGTAAGGGGTGGGACAGGGGCATGCATTGCAGGTATATTTGGGCCTGCTAAGGAAGAGAAGGTGGGAATGAGGAACAGAGACACAGACAAGGCTCTGTGGCATCAGAGCTGGGAAGGGGGATACGAGGTAAATGCTTTGCAGCATCAGAGCTGGGAATGGAACACTGGGAAACAGACTCTGCCAGCTTGTAGAGCTATGGATATGTTTACTTACAATTAACCCCAATAAACATCGCATTGCCTGCACTTCTGACTTCCGGTCTTCTGCTTTCTGTCTGCGTGACAGGAACCAGGGGAGGAGGTGAAGGGGAAGCTCTGTAACACTCAAGTTCCAGGCCCCGTGCCTGGTGCTGAAGCGCTTGGTTTTCCACTTTGGACCCCGTATCTGGGACTGGGTGGGCTCAGGCTTTGGTCTTCCCTACTGGGGTCATGTAGTAATTTTTATTGTCAGAAGGGGGTTGCAGTGCAATGAAGTTTGAGAACCCCTGGGTTAGAACATTGGATGAAAAGGCTTTAGGTGTTGCTTGTTTCCACGCAGTACTCAGAGCTGTGAATCCTCTCCTGCAATTAGGAGCCTAAGCCAGGTCAGCCATTTCTCAAAAAAACACCATATATGCCAGTCACCCCCAACCTCCACCCCATTGTAGCTAGTAGGTCTCTAAGATCCTTGTTTTCAAATCCCACTTCTGCCTGCTTTGGGGCAAGGACTTGAAGTTGGGTCTCCCACATCCCAAGGGAGTGCATCCTGACCACCAGGATACAGTGCCAATCTCTCTCTCTCTCTCTCTCTCTGAACCAGTGAAAATTTGATACAGCATGGAACAGCTTCAACAGGGAGATCGAGATCCAGCCCATAATACCTAGGGCTAGGATACTGGAGAACTGGATTCTAGTCCCTGCTCCAAAACAGGTCACCCACATCCAGGAGAATGCCTTGATCACTGGTTCTTATTACCCAACCCCCTTCCCATCTT